GAGATAAGAAGCCCCATGGGGAGAGAGAGAGGGGGCTAGCTGGCTAAGCTGCACACCCTTCCTGGGTTTTGTTCTTCCTCCTCAGAGCGCCCCACAAAGCCCAGAGAAGGCTCTGGGAGAGATGGCGGATCAGTCAGGCCGCAGCAGCGGTGGGAAAGGTTCTGGGGTGAATGGGGGATCAAGCTGGCTTTGACATCCGCACCTCTGTAACTGTCTCTCCCGTCTGTCCAACCAGCCGGAAGTTTCCGTGTTTCTCAGAAGAGTCTCACGGCCTTCCTGAAAGAGGGCTAGAGAGAGAGAGAATGTCGGGAAAGGTGGCCAGGCCTGGTGGGCAGGCTTTGAGCAGCAGAGAGGTAAGGCGCTGGGAAGCATCTGCCAGGGCTTTGAGGCAGGGAGAGAAGGTTCTGAGGTTCTGCTCTCCCTCAGGGGGAGATCTACATTCCAGAGACGGTTCCTTTAGTGTTTCATTCACAACCATGTATGAAAGCCATGGACCTTCTAGGCAGAAAGAAGGTGCAGCAGTGTACACACACAAACACACACACACACACACACACACACACACACACACACACACACACTCCTCTGAACTGAATTCCAGTAAGAGGTATAAATTGAGGCAGCAATGTGCATGAAGAAGGTTCTAGGTGATGTTGAAGGGCAGCTTCAACTGGACTATGTTTGAGCCAGGCTGTGGTGTCAGGTCTATGCCTCCGTTTTATGTACAGGTACTCCAGGGGCTTTGCTCTCATTGGAGCAGGGGGTGCCCAAGCTCTAGATGCTTTTGTCTGAGGACCAACCTGAAAGCATGTTGTCCAGTGGGAGGGGCGGCAGGGGGGACTTCTGCAGTGCCTGTGCTCTAGTACCGAGACCATTTTAGCTCCTTTCTACTTCATACCAGACCTGCCAGTTAGGGGACTACTCTGCTTCCATTGATGATGAAGACAACGGTACTGGGGGAGTTAACCACTCAGTGTCATTGAGTAGGAATCAAGGCCCAGGTCTTCCAGGGGGGTCCCTGGCAGCCAGTTGGCAGGAGTCAGCTCAGTTTCTGGGAGATATTCTTTGCCGCCTATTCCCATGGCTTCTACAGAGCTGTGGGGGCAAGGCGGCTGGGTACTGGTACACCAGGACTGTTAGAATCAACAGGCCTCCTGCTGCACCCACTGGCTTCTATACCATCCAGCCAGCACAGGCAGGATCACCCAAGGGCTTTCTCAAATGCAGTCTGCACCAACAATGTTTCCACAGTTTTAAAGGGTTCATATTTAATAGTTTCAGGACTTGCTAATCAACTTCCTTCTTTCTCTGTACTTTTTTTCCAGGCCAGACCCATTCTCCCCAGATCTTGATGTTTGTCTGTCCCCTCCCCAGCTCTCAAATAGGCAATTTTCTTTCTTTCTTTCTTTTTGCATTCTCCCAGCCTAGTTTTGTTTTGAATAATATAAAACATTCCCATCTTGACTGGAAGCCTTTATGTGGCGAATGGTAATTTGGGGGACACACCTGGCAGTGCTGTTACTCCTGACTCTGTGCTTAGGGATCACTCCTGATGGTGTTCTGAGGGTCACATGGGGTGCCAGGGATCAAACCTCAATTTGATGGGTACAGGAAATGCCTTTACCCCTGTACTGTCTCTCTGCCCTTGGCAAGAAGTCTGTCCACAGCAGAGGCAGGGCTCAAAACACCTGAGGCCCAAGTTGCTGAGCCAAATACCTGCACCTTTGGGTTTTCAACGGACTCCTCTGGAGCAGGAGGAAGAGCCAATGTTAACCAGGCGGCTAAATTAGTAGTCTGGGATTTTTCCTAGGCCATATACAACTTCATGCCTTATCTGGAATGAAGACTTTCTGCCCACCACCCACTTCCCCGCAATTTCCCATTCCCAAGTATTTTACCTGCTTCAGTTCTGAGCCCAGTGGAGAGGGTCAGAATACTACCCATTCAGTTCAGTGTGGTCCAGGGGTACAAGAACAAAATGACCAGGAGACAATATTTGGCTTTTGAAACAGCTCTGTAGGCTCTTGTTTAATAGCAGTTAAAATAGGAAAATGTACAGGAGGAACGAACATGCTCTTTCCACAGAGGTTTTTCACAAACCACCTGGCCCAGCTGCATCAGTAGCATTACTAGTGAGTTTTAAAGAAAAAAAAATTCCCTTTAGAGTTAAAAATGAACTTCCCTATGTTTCCTCCATAAATGTGCAACTATCTGTGCAAAATTAAAAGGCCATTTCCAACATGTTAGTTAAAAGTAACTGTGAATGCAGGCCAGAAAAATTTAAAAAAAAAAAAAGAAAGAAAAAATAAAATGTGGCAATTGAAGCATCAGGAGCAGAGCCCTCTGGGAAGGAAGCTAAGGTAGGGGGTTTCTGCAGCAAGCCCCAGGGAATTTTCTTAGAGAGACTTTACAAGGATGGTCATGGCCAATGGCAACCTTGGGTGGTGGTGGGGATCCAGGGCCCAGGACTTGCTAGCAAATACCTGTCAAGTGCTGAGTAGAGCTGAGTCTGAGGCCCACGAGATGGTACCCCTGACACACCAGGAAAATACTGGGAAATACTCCATTGCCAATGGGGATTCCCTGCCGATGGGGGTTCCAATTCTGTTCCAGGTTAAATTCTGCCCAACAATTTCATTTACAGACTACTCAAACACGTTCTCCTATGAAAAACTTATGCCAGTCACCTAGATTGCTATTAAGACCAACTGGGCTTTGAAACCACACTCCCTGTCTCATGAATAAGGATCTTGTTCCCCAAGAAGCTGGCCAAGGGTTTGTCCCAACCAGATGGCAAGAGGGTGGCTAGTGACCATGTTCTCGCCTTCTCATCAAGGGCCTGGGTCACTTTTCTCCCTGGGGCCTCTGAGGTCAGATCTCAGGAGTCTGAGGGAGGAGGCACACAGAGTCTGCATAAGTCCTGGTAAGGGCTGATTCACAAACAGCCCTAAAGACAACCCCACAAAATCCCACATCACCAAACATCTTGGACATGGGCGGTCCTTGTTTTAACCTTCCCTGTCCACTGATCCAGAGTGAGTCTCCGGAGGGAACTTAGTAGCAGCACGTTGAATATGTTAGGAAGAACTGAAGGCAGCTTGCAAGGGAAGAAGAGATCACCCAAGGGGTCTGTCCTTTTGTCTAGAGCTTGAAACATTTTCTAGAGCCGTGTGAGATGTACAAGGCCCAGAACATCTGCCAGGTCCCTGCCTGCTCCCCTTCTCCTTGATACCTCAGTGTTTTTACAGGGATAAGTCTGAGACCAGACTGGCAATGACAAACTGAGACACAGCTTTAAGTATTCTCCATTCCCACTTCAAAGGCTCAGCGAGGACATCTTGCCGCAAATTGGGATTCTTGTGAGGAAGAGTGTCTTGGAACCTCCTTGGTTACAGGTCTCCAGATGAGTGTCATAATCTCTGGTTCTTTTTAGCAAAGTCCAGCCAGAGCTTTGGGTGTTGGGGGTCTTGGGTCTCAGTCCTCTGGGTCCTTTTCTGTCCCTTGGTCTCTGCAGTTCTGCAAGGCAGGACTTAAAGACTCCAGGTCAAGCACCTAGCCTGAAGGTGAGGCCCTGAGAGGTCTGCAGAGTTCCCATGGGATCTGGTCTCTCCAGCTTCGAGGATGCCCCATGTCTGGGTGAACATTCTCTCCATGGATTTCAAGTTGAGATAGGATTTGGGGGTTTGGGGGAGCGGTGCAGTTGGAAAGGGAGTGGGGAATGAAAAAAAAAAGGAGGCACTTCCCTCCCCAGAAGCAACTCAGTAGCTGACAAAGGTAGTGAAGAATTCAGTTTGATGAGTTTCTCCTCCCACTAATCCAAGCTGGAAATGCCTGTGTGGCTTATTTGTCATTGTTTGGTGATGCACAATTATACTATTGCCCATAATCAAGTCGTCTCATCCTGGAGTGTCTTAAAGTGCAGGATCTATGGACTGGCCTCGAGGCAAAGCTTGGGCATGAAGTTCCAGAATCTGATGGGACAATGGGCATAGTCTCCAAGAGGGTGGCTCCAGCGTCTGTGTGCAAACTTGGGAGTTTGAGAACTTGGGTTGAAGACCCTTTTCCTCAGATGACGTCAGAGGAAAGCTACAGGGATCTCAAGAGCAGATGAAAGCCTTGGACTTGAACAGGAACTTCATATCCAGGCTAAGACGTAGTGAGGGGACGCTGGGCCAGAGGAACAAGACTTGGGCCTAGGCTGGCCCTGTCACCATCAGGGTGATAAATTCCCTAGAGGCCTTCAACAGAGCTACGATTGGTCCCACAATGCAGGGTTGCACAATTAAGGATGACAGCCAGAGAACTTGTTTAAAACCCAGACAAAATTAGCGTTAGGTTTCACCCTCAGGGTCAAGTAATAAATAGCATTTTCAGGTTTCGGGAATCTGTCGATCTCTGTGACCCTATTGGAACAGGTGAAGCCCGAGGCTCTCTGTGGGCCCCAGCCTCAACCGAAGGACCTGGCTATGAAGGAGGGAAATGAGACTAACAGGGAAAGGACAGAACCGCTGATTCCATCCTTGCTGGCGTTCAGGATCCAGTATAGCTCCTCGTGGTCCAGTTCCCCCAACGGCATCCTCAGCTCTCTCCTGACCTGGCAAAGCTAGCAGGGAGAGCCCTGCATTAGATTTAGGTTAAAGAAACTGCCATCCTGATGAGCCTGCAGCAAAGCTATCAGCATGTCCCCATCCTGTTTGTCCACCCATTCTCATTAGTCAGGGGATCGAGGAGATATGTCTCCGGAATGGTGCTCTTGTCTTTTCTTTATGAAACGATGATGTTTTCCAGGCCTCTTCCTGGCCTCAAGAAGAATGGTTACATGGCAGGTGGGGTAACCCAGGGTGAACGAGTATCCTAGATTCTTCTTATGCCCAGTCCCCTTCCCTCTCAGTGTCAAATACCCATTTTGTTTGTTGTGCTCCTGAATCTTAGAACAAAAACTCTGGAGCCATGGATGGAAGCAGGGGGATCCTCACATTGGAACTGATGATACGACCACCTCCAGGGGAAAAGAGACTGTGAAGAAGAACTTCCCCTGCATCCCCGCCCAGCAACGGTGCATGGACTTGCTTCCTCTTGTGCCTCTCTGACTATCGGGAAAGGTTATGTGGACGCTGTACGTAGGTTATTACAAAAATACATCTGCTCTCTCTGAAGAAGGATGAACAAATGCAGGGGCCAGCCCGGGCATGGCCCAGACTCCGTGGCCGCAGCGAGCAGCCTCCCTGGGCCCAGGCCAGCCTTCATGAATGGTGGCTGCTGATGAGTCCCCGGAGCTGCTTGGCCACGGTGTCGATCAATTTCTGCTTGTCTCGCTCGTTTTTCCGAAACTGTGCAAACATGTTGTTCTTGCGGCTAGTGTCCTTCATCCTACAGGGACAAGGAAAGGGAGAGCAAAGCGTTTGAGGTGGCCATGGCGGGAGGAGAAGCTACAGGGTGTTGGATGGCACAGCCGATCTCAACCACTGTCTAGAACAGAGAGACTCCAGAATATTTCCATTGGCAGGCACGTACTTACCTGCCTTCGCGGAGCTGTTCTGTAGCCACCCACCGCCTTCCCAGCTCCGTGGAAAATATACCAGAGCCAGCTCCACTGAGGGAGGGGGGGTGGGCTGACAATTTGGCTGCTCTCACCCATCCCAGGGTTCTGATTCATGTGGGTGTCCTGAGGCTGGCCAGGCTCAAACAGAACGTCCAGGATCCTGGTACCACTTTATAACTAAATCCCACTGGGATCCTGGAACTGGTAGTTCAGAGGTGGAACAAAAAAATGCTCTAACCCAGCAGTTCTCTGAGGACCGAGAGAGTTGCTCAGCATTGCTCTTTCTGTTACTCTCACTGTTCCCCAACAAAGGGCTTCCC